AGAGTCTCTAGAAGCGTGTGTATGTGTGCAGTTAAGCTCCATTATGGCCATTTCTTGGCTGGCTCCACCTCCTCCAGTGGCCATTTTGCGGCGGCCATTTTGCGGCTGAGCCCACCACCCTGTGTCACAATTTCAAAGCTGCCCACAGGCTCAATAAGGTCGGGACCCCTGGTCTAAGGCGCATCACTTCTGGAGTTTGTAAGGAAGTGTCTGAGTCTTGCCGTTCTAAGATTAGGTGTAGTGGTACTACACCGTCTCTGGGCTTGAAGGGCCTTAGTCCTCCTCTCGGCCAGACAGCCTGACGCGTGATTGTCCGTGCATCTCTCTCGACAGATCTGCAGTCTAATGCGAGGAGGCATTGCGGAGCGGGGGGGTGTCCGCGTCGGCCATCGCATCATTGAGATCAACGGTCAAAGCGTTGTGGCCACCGCTCATGAGAAGATCGTCCAGGCCTTGTCCAACTCTGTGGGAGAGGTGAGCGTCTGGCACAGCCCGTTAGAGCTTTCGATCAAGGAAAGGACTTCAGGAGCCCCGCCGCTTCCTTTTTCTTTATTGAAAGAAGTGGAGCCGTACTGTAGACGAACCAGCCATTAATTCAGTCCGCCACTGGCCTCTTGTAGCAATAGAATCACAGAATCAGAGAGTTGGAAGGGTCCTCCAGGGTCATCTTAGTCCACCCCCCTGCACAAGGCAGGAAATTCACAAATCCCTGCCCCCCCCCCGTGACCCATGTTCCATGCCCAGAAGATGACAAAAAACATCCAGGATCCCTGACCCGAAAGTGGCGATCGGCGTTTCCCTGGGCGTGTAAGGAAGGGCCACGAGAACTAAGCCCTGAGGCAACCCTTCCCACCCTCCCTCTCGTGATCTGCCTCAGTTCACAGAATCCGCATGGCTGTCAGATGGCCATCTCTAGCCTCTCCAGAAATCTCCAGAAACAGAAATGTTTTGGGGGTGTTCTGACTAGAGATCACCAGGTTTCCCCTCGCCGGAAGTCCTGCATTCCCTGCCCTTAATTGTCGTTTGATAAGGAGAAGTCCTAAAAACAACCCTAAAGGTAGAGCACAGGGCTGTAGCCAGGATTTTTTAATTCGGTGGGGGGGGGGGCTTTAAATAAATCAGGGGGCACCCCACCCCAAGGGAGCGTCTGGGCTGGGTGGGGAGTTTGGGGGGGCCTTGGCGGTAAGTCAGGGGGCCGGCGCCCGGGATGCCCCTCTGTAGCTATGGGCCTGGTAGAGCATCACCTTTCAGTTTAGTATTGAGAGTTGTTAACGTGGAAGTTGCTATCAGAGGACGTTGTGAGGGCCACAGGGAGAAACAGCTCTAAAAGGGGATTGGATAGATTCATGGACGATACGTCTATCAATGGCCATGAGCCATGGTGACTGAGGGGAACCTCCACATTCAGAGGCACTAAGCTTCTGAATCCCAGAGCCAAGAGGCAACATCAGGCAAAGGCCTCGGCCTCCAAGCCCTGTTGTTGGATGTGCAGAGGAACTGGTTGGTCGTTGTGCGAGACAGAAAATTGGACTAGAATGGACTATTGGTCTGATCCAGCAGGGCTCCTCTGATGTTATTATGAAGGCCTACGGCCTCTGTGCCCTGTTGTTGGCCAACCAGTTCCTCTGAAGGGCCAACAACAGGGCAGAGAGGCCGAGGCCTTCCCCTGGTAAGAACATCCGAAGAGCCCTGCTGGGTCAGACCAGGGAGGGTCCCTCTAGTCCAGCCTCCCGTCTCACACAGTGGCCAGCCAGTTCCTCTGGAGGGCCAGCAACAGGGCACAGAGGCCGAGGCCTTCATAATAACATCAGAGGAGCCCTGCTGGGTCAGACCAGGGAGGGTCCCTCTAGTCCAGCCTCCCGTCTCACACAGTGGCCAGCCAGTTCCTCTGGAGGGCCAGCAACAGGGCACAGAGGCCGAGGCCTTCATAATAACATCAGAGGAGCCCTGCTGGGTCAGACCAGGGAGGGTCCCTCTAGTCCAGCCTCCCGTCTCACACAGTGGCCAGCCAGTTCCTCTGGAGGGCCAGCAACAGGGCACAGAGGCCGAGGCCTTCATAATAACATCAGAGGAGCCCTGCTGGGTCAGACCAGGGAGGGTCCCTCTAGTCCAGCCTCCCGTCTCACACAGTGGCCAGCCAGTTCCTCTGGAGGGCCAGCAACAGGGCACAGAGGCCGAGGCCTTCATAATAACATCAGAGGAGCCCTGCTGGATCAGACCAGTGGTCCACCTAGTCCAGCCTCCTGTCTCACACAGTGGCCAGGCAGTTCCTCTGGATGGTCAAAAACAAGTCATAGAGGCTGAGGTCTTCCCCTAATGTTGCCTCCTGCCTGTGGAACTCAAAGTTTTAATGCCTCTGAGCATGGAGGTTCCCCTCAGCTACCATGGCTAGTAGCCATTGATAGACCTACCCTCCATGAATTTATCTAATCCCCTTTTAAAGCTATTTATTCCTGTGGCCCTCACGGACATCCTCTGGCAGCGGATTCCAGATTTTAATGGCTCTCTATGTAAAGTAAAGGAGCTGCGGTGGCTCAAGTGGTTAAGACGCTGAACTGCAGGCTGTGGAAGGTCAGTAGTTCAGTGGTTCAAGACCCGGGTGCCGCAAGACAGGGTGAGCTCCTGTCTCTAGTTCCAGCTCCTGCCAACCTAGCAGTTCGAAAGCAAGAAATTGCAAGTAGATAAATAGGGACCACTTCGGACTGCCCGTCAGCTTCACTGGATGCCCATGAGTTCTAGTATTCTAGGAGAGGGCTTATTCCTTATCAGGTCTACTTGGGGTCAAACAGAAACATAAGAAATCCTCATTTTGGTCCTGTTCTTCACTTTGCCATCACTCCTAAAGAGCGATGACACTATGCGGTTGGTGGACCCGTGCCTTTTCTGTTGTAACTTCCGACGGCTGACCAGACTCTCTTTCCCCACCTCTTCACAGATTCACATGAAGACAATGCCTGCCGCCATGTTCCGGCTCCTCACCGGCCAGGAGACCCCACTTTACATCTGATGCAAGGCCCATCTCTCATGAGAGGAACTGAAGCAGCCTTCCGGAGGGGAGGGGTTTGTACTCGGTAGGGAACAGGAAGGGGCTTGAATCGGCTCCTCCGTCCTCCGGAAGCGCGACGGCTGCAGCTTCTGTATGTCTTTCTGGTTCATAACACTTCCGTTGCCAAATGGTGAAGCCATTCCCATGGACAATAGCCACTATGTCAAGGTATTTCGCCACCACCGACAACCGCCCTTCGTCATAGAAGCTTCCGGACATGGGCCGCAATGGCCCGCGAACGTCTCCGGTGTCCGCCGCACTGCTGAGATAACATTCTCCCGCGGATTGTACTGAATAGTTATCTATCCCAACAAGAGGAGGCGAATGAAGGCTTTCCTTGGGGGAGGGGGGGAGGGGGGTGACCATGAATGTATGCAATTCCAAGAGGGTGGGGGTGATGACCAAGTATTTGATCTTCATAGAAGGGGGGAAAGCTCCTGTTGTAAGTGGTATCCTTTCTTGACCAGTGTAATGTGTTTCTATGAGATGTGACTGTACTGTGAAACAAAGGGAAGTTGGGTACAAAAAAAAAAGAGAGAGAGAAGTTTTGCGACAATAAAAAGACTCGCCACATTCTGAACGTTGAACACCCCCCCAGGGAGACGCTGTGTGTTAATTCCCCGACTGCCGTTATTATGAACTCCGTTTCCTTGCTACGAGCCCAGAACACCTCCGTTAACTATGAGAAAGCCCACGTGTTCAAAAGGCCGAGTCGTTTCCATCAACGGTGTTCGGTGCCCACCGTCGAAACCACTGATTGATTAAGAGTGACATTGTCCTCGTAGCAAGATGAAAAGTGGACTGCTGTACCTGTTGTTGGCATCTTGCTGTCTGATGTTCCCCCGCGTGAGGCCGTGACCTCAGGCAGAACGACACTGTGACGCTTTGACGGAATGCCTTACCGAGCACTAACAAAAATCTTTAGGAGTACAGTAATACCATAGCTATATAAGCCATGGCCTGCCAGTCGCTCTAGGAGGGACTCAATGCAAAACTACCAATAAATGTGGAGTAATAAAGTATTCCCGCGGCTTCCTTGGTTTCTTTTGCAGACTCTACAAAAGGGATTTGCTGATGGAACAGAAGCAGTTTCTTCTTCTTTTCTGTGCTACGTGCATTCCAGTTCTGTCCCTGGAACTTACTTTATATCTTGCCTTTTTCCCAATGGAGACCCAAAGCAGCTTACATCCTTCTCCTTGTTTCCATTTTCTCCTCACAACAACCCTGTGAGGTAGGTTAGGCTGAGTGTGTGCGTGAGAGAGAGAGACTGGCCCAAGGTCACCCAGCAAGCTTCCATGGCACGAGCAGGGATTTGAACCTGGGTCTCCTGAATCCTAGTCCAGCGTTTTAACCACTACACCACAGTGGCTTTCACTTGCTGGGGGCATTGCGGTTGTTTCTGTGCCACCTTACTTGTAGTCTCCGGGTACTAAAATCAGACAGATGTCCAATCTAAAGTCAGTTTGAGAGGGTAGCCGTGTTGGGTCTGCAGTAGAAGAGCTGGATTTGAGTCCAGTCGCAACCTTTGAGACCAACAGGACTTTCAAGGTGTAAACCTTCGAGAGCCAGACGAAGGGAGCCTTGGCGCTCGAAAACTCGTATCCCAAAAATATTGTTGGTCTCTAAAGTGCTACTGGGATCGAATTTAGCTAATCTAATGATTCGCTCTCACAAAGATATCCTAAGCTCTTAGTGCAGACTTAAGAGGAAAAAGTCACACAATTCCAAAGAGAATTAGAAAACCTGTGTTGATGGTCTATCTTTCGGAATTGCGTTGTTCTTTCTTGTATCCCCTGGTTCATCATCTGACGACCCACCGTATTTCTCTCCGAAGAAGGAAAGTTGGCTCGGAATAAGGGGTACAGATGGTCTACTGTCTGCTCCCAGCTCGACTGGTTCTTTCCCTTTTTCTGTAAAGACCCCTCTAGCATTCGTCCCTCTGGGCTGATGAGGAGGATGTTTATCCACAAAGGAGGAATTTGCAAGTTGCAACCTGCTCACTTTCCACTGGAGGGCACCGCAGCTTCACACGAGCGGCGCTGACAAAATCCTTCCGCTAGATGGCGTGGTTCCTCTACGCTCTCCTGCCTCCGCATAGCTGCTACAGACCGAACAGCCAAAGAGTGAGAGAAATGAAGAGACTGAAGTGACAGTGGACCACTTTTTCCACATTCTGCTCCGGGAGATTATTGCAATTTAAGAGCCCGGATCAGTGACTGTAGGAACGGGATGCGCTTCTTCAGAATCGGAGGAATCCTTTGGGTTTACAACAAAGTCCTGTCAGAGCATGTATGCGCCCGGAGCAACAGCCCCACAGCTGGGTCTGCATACCAACATTTGAACGAGATCCATTTCTTTGAGAGGGTCGTCTTTCTCCACTCTGTGCCCTCCCCCGGAAGGGATTAGTACTGGGTATCCTTGTAGCCACTAGGAGTGCTTTGAAACAGGAAGGGTGGGATCACTTCAGGGGCTCAGACTGCAAGGCGACATCCTCCAGAGAACTTGGAGGAGAAGAGTTGGTTTTATACCCCGCCCTTCACTCGGCGTCTCAGAGCGGTTTAGATTCTCCTTCCCCTCTCCACAACAGACACCCTGTGAGGAAAGTGGGGCTGAGAGAGCTCTTGCGAGGACTGCTCTTGAGAGAACAGCTCTGAGAGAACTATGGCTCACCCCCAAGGTCAACCAGCAGCTGCATGTGGAGGAGTGGGGAATCAAACCCGGATCTCCCAGATTAGAGTCCACCCCCTCTTAACCACTTACGCTCTGCACGGAACGACTTGAAGGTGGTCCCTGGCCCTAGAGACATCTGGTTGTTCTCGACCTGGTGGAACTCTCTACCAAATAACATCAGGGCCCCGCAGGATCTTAAGCAATTCCACAGGGCCTGTAGAAGAAGAAGAGATTGGATTTATACCCCTTGCCCTTCACTACCCGAAGGAGTCTCAGAGCGGCTCACAAACTCCTTTCCCTTCCCCTCCCCACAACAGACACCTTGTGGGGTAGAAGAAGAAGAAAAGGAGGAGATTGGGTTTATACCCCGCCCTTCACTACCTGAAGGAGTCTCAGAGCGGCTTACAAGCTCCTTTCCCTCCCCCTCCCCACAACAGACACCCTGTGAGGTAAAAGAAGAAGAGATTGGATTTATACCCCACCCTTCACTACCAAACTCCTTTCCCTTTCCCCTCCCCACAACAAAACCCGCAAACTGTGAACCTACCTGTAGGCGACAGGTGCTTCCCAGCGGCCATTCTTCACAGGTGATGTGGGGTAGAACTTCAGCACTTACCGTACAACCCCCGGACATGCCCTGATGCAATGCAGCTCTTGATCTCCTTTGGCTGGTATTTCTGCACCAAACTCAATATACACTTTTCAGTGTCAAGCTTCAGTTTTCTCTGGTCGCCCTACTGGCTTAGATACTCCTTATTCTAACTGCCTTTCCTCTCACCACCTCGGCAGCTTTACAAAACTCAAAAAGGAGGCCATAAAGGTGGCCCCGAACAATGTTAACAGTGCCCCACAAGCCAGATAAAAACCCTTACAAAGACGTACACCACAGAAATCGGTTCTGGAGAAATGCGCCATCCAGAAATAACCTTTAAAAATTTATTATTATGAAAACACTGTTCATGATCAGCGAAAACACTTTTTCTTTCCTTGTTGAGGTACAGCAAATTGAGTACAACTGCGAAGTTGTACCAAACGTTCGACGTCTCTTGGCAACGGGTGTCCGCCCAAACCGGATCCGTCACAGACCACAGACGTACCAAGTCCTCGGTATGGCGGAGGGG